GCACCGGAATTACGCTGGTATCATGGATGTCATAACTTCTATATGGAGGTAAAATTTGTTCTTATTGAATTATTGACTGAATTTAAGCTGCTCGATTGTACCCTGTAATAATATGCACCGGTAATTTCAACTCAAAATCGCGCATGTTAAGAAACGGAATTTTTGAACTCTATCAGATGACCTCGCTAATTTGTGTCACATGGACCAAGGAACTTGAGTCCATTGGATGGTACGAAGGTCAGGTCAGCAGGTGAGAAACGTATAAATCGGAATTAGAACACACAGTTTGCTAAGAGTCAAACACATTAGCTTGGCTCATCATGGTTAGGGAGAATGTCGGGTTCTCACCAATTTGTCGTCTGATAGAATCCCGGAGTACTGCTACATTCTGACACAAAATCTGCCATTTTTAAAAAAATCGCTAACGATTTACTCTTCAGAGGGCATTGGCCCAGTTTGGTTTACAAATCTTCCCCAGAAGGATTTAGCTTACTAGGTAATTGGATGTTTACGGGTGTAGCACAAAGAACACGGGAGCTGGGTAAGTACTATCCGTGTTAATTGCGCTATTCAGTTGCATCGGTTGCCTACATTATGCATTCCTTAATTATTGAGCTGTTTCGCATTTCGTCGACCAGAGCTTCTCTGGTCGCACTCGCAGATCTTTACTAACTTCTCTTTTAGACTTCGTGTTGAATGCCAGTGTCAATTGTCGTGGTTCTGTTTTGGGCTCTCGAATCATGGCGAGTAGAATAGAGTTAGTCTCGTCGAAAGTGGGACCGTAGATGACACCTGTCCCACTGCCTTGGCTGAATGATTTTACCCTCAAACATATTCTAGGCCTCAAACGTCTACTGAAATATTTCGGCAAGCTGAAATCACGCCGAACCATTTGTACCCTATCTTAAGTCATCCGTTACGAAGCCCACAATTCTCCAGTACATGTGTACAATCAAACTAGGGTGCATTGCTGTTTTAAAAAAATCTTTCCATCATTCTTTACAGATCCTACAGTAATGCTAAATTGCCCGTCACTCTGTTAACATTGGGGCGGTTCTATCTTCAGTCACCAACGCAACTTCATCAAAAAGCTGCCGAGGACGTGGAGCTCCTATCACTACTTTATTCCTTCTTAATTAACTCATCGCGCATACTAAGCCGAAATACCATGGACCCTGAAAAGACGGAACCTGTCAGTTAGTCAAGCTGTAGGCTACTCTTCTGCGCGTCCGTAGATTATGTATGGTGAAATTGCCTTCCGTAAAAGTCGACTGTGATGTAAACAGGCTCTCCGGTCACAAGAAGAAGAAAGGACAATTGTACGCTAGGTATG